ATGAGCTTCTGCACACCTTAGATCCTCCAGGACTAAGAGCGGGAGAATCGCCTTACCTTCAAAATATCCGGGCTGATTGTTGACTCATCGCGACAGGCAACGCAGACAACATTACGCCTGACTGTGCAGGCTTACAACGAAACAAATAAACAAATGACACGTTAACTACTCCGGAGCCGTCACTGCTGCAGATGCCAACCCGGTTCCCGGTCGCCAGAGCGGGACCAGCGGCGCCGCGGAGCTGCGACCCGGCGCGCCGCCGGACCAGAGCGGTTTAGCGTAGCAGCGGGCCGTAAAAGGCGGCTCTGGGATCGTGCCTGGCGCCCAGCCATCCGCACACATCGGCTAGAGGCTGGCTAACCGGCCGCACCTCCGCGCGACGACCTGGGGCGCATCGAGGGGCGGGGCAGGCGGGCCGCGCCGGCCTGAACCGCGGGCTGTACGCGACAGGCGGTGACAGTGGGACACGCCGGCCACCGATACCATGCCGATCAAGCTGGCACAGGCTCCATATCCTGACGTGGAGCCGTCGGCTTACGGAACGGCTTGATCGATGTAATTGCAACGACCTTATGCTGGGTGCTAGAAGAAAAGATTACGCCTATAGTTTTTGGAATGAACGGTTCGGTTGATGCGATAAACGGGGCGTTTAGCCTGGATTACAACTCGCTACAGCGAGGTGATTTGGTTGGCCTGGATTATAGTCATGCTGACTGCAGCCTGAGTGATTGGCCGCTATTTCTGACGTCTCGGACCGTGCGTCCGAGAGCGAGCCATCCCCACGGAGGGAGATAATCCATGCTAGAATTTTAATTGAGATGCCGGATACAGAATACATGCACGCCTCTCGATTCCACTCGCGCCGGTCGAGATTTCCGATAAGTCCCGGATTGAGCCTTTTCACTCAGGGATTCCTCCGAAAAAGAATGAGAAAATCAGACTGCGTGAAGCGTGCACTCATGCCAAGCGGTACCGCCGCGTCGACGAATGCATTCCTCCAAAGCCGCGTCACTAATCATCGACCAGCGCGGATCGAGGCGCCGATACGACGCGAGGCGCCGAGCGGCCATTACCGCAGTGACGGTGTGCGGCGCCGGCGCCGGCGGCGGTGGCAGCGGCTTCAGACGCGGCTGCCTGGACCGCTACGCTGACCGGTCGCGAGCGAGCGGTCATCTCTGCCGCTGACCGTGCGGCGCGGCGGACCGAGTCCGGGTCGGCCCGGGCCGGGACAAGCTGCTTCCTGGCCGCAGACAGCCAGGGACCTCCTCTGAACAGCGGCGACCGGGGCTGTGATTTTCCGCAGAGCCATTTCCGGCCCGCGAGCGAGCGAGGGGGCACGAGATTTAGCTGTTCAGATTCGCTCAGCATGTGTGAGCTGCCCCTGGGAACAGTTCCGTTCGTGCTGGCCTGGCAGGCCGCTCTTTCAGGTGCTCACTGAGGCAGAACGGGCTCGGCGGACGTCCCTATGTGCCGTGTCATGTCAAGCCGTGACCCTGAGTCGGCGGCCGCAGTTGTGACGCACGAGCTTGTCTCCCTCGGGACGGCCCGCCCAGCTCAGCTTTCGGCCAGCGCGGCGGGGTTCAATGTAGTGCGCATCGCGCCGGAGACCGACCCCGGTGGTCCGGTGCGTCTCGGACCTCCTGTACCCACCGACCCGGCACGGTGGTCGGGCGCAGGGCCGGGCTGTGGCCGCGACACGTCAGTAGCGGGGGGAGGGGGAGGGGAAGCTAAGGCACGCTGACGTTCCCTGCACCCCGCCGAGCTATGCGAAAAGGTGGATGTCCCTGTCGAGATGCTGGCAGTTCTTGTTGCCGCCTCCTAGGCAAGGGAGCATCACTTGCTCCACAAAGCGACTTCAGCCCATGCCGAGAAAGAAGGTCTGCCCAAATACCAGCAGCTGCCATATCCCGTACTTGCAATCACTGGCGAGAGCTGTTTGGGGGCCTGCCTCGTTGCTGACGTCTTGAGTGACGCTGACCGCGATGCGATCGATCTCTGGGCGTCTCCTGCTGTACCGCCCTAAACACAAGCTTCCTTGCCGCTTTGCTGGCACGGGGCCTGGAAGACTTCAACGCTCCCTAGCACGCTAGCAGCGTACGCCAGAGCTAATTTTGAAGACCACAAAGCCGCACTCACCAATCCAGCAGGCACTTGTTATTTGTTGATACGGACATGTTGCCCTCGTATTGCAATCGGCGATTTTTAGAGGCAAGACGTTGTGTCGAGGGTTCTCAAGAACTCCGGCGTGCTCACGCATACATTTGGGGCCCACCTGTGAAAGTTACATCACTTTCGCCCTAGTGTCTCAGCCGAAGCCATTTGTAGACGTATCGCCGTCAGGCGTGTCACCACCTGCGGTTCTCCACCAGCCTGGGGTTTGTTGTACTTCAGAACGACTTTCCTACGCGGATTACGCCACTCGCCACTAGTGCGTGAGCTCCTTCAGTCGGTAGCTGGAGAATTCAGATCCCTGATGACGCGGTCGGACGGGCTGACCAGGACCAGACCGGACTGGGCTGGGGGCCGGTCTTCTTTGGGCCAGGTTTCGACAGATGCCGCTATCACCCCACTTCCAAGCATTGGCCCGTGTCATTAGTCAGCCGTGATTAGGGGCCATTCGCCGCCAGCTGGGAGGACGGAGGGCGCCCGGCGGTCGAACGAAGCCCGGCTGAACCAGCCGGCTTTCGTCACCCTGCCGCCGCCGCCACCGCGCCGTCGTCGCCGCCGGCGTCACTTGCTCAGATCGGGCCGCGCGCGCCGTAACGACAAGCCACGCGGCCGACTGTTGACGCATCATCTGACGTGCCGCGGTGGTGGCGCAGGTCGGCGGCGAGCTCAGCGCGGCCGGCGGCGAGCCTGGCGCGACCGCCGGCGATTCCGGCGCGCCGGCGCCGTCCTTGTGCGCGGCAGTAAACGTTAAACGATCGGCATTGTCGAATGGTGGTCGGAGACGGTGCCGGCGCCAGTGGCGGCGCGGGCCGGCCGCCAGCCACCCTGCATCCGAATTCCTCGGCACCAAGTCACACAGCTTTATGGGGAGCACGCGGCATAAATTAGGCTCGAATAGCAGGGCCCTCGGGCGGCGGCCGACCGGGCCTTTTAGCCGGCCGACTCTAATAGCGGGGCGGCGGAGCTCGGTGCGTCATTCCCCAATTCTCGGGTTGGTGCGTGCGTCACCACTCATTTCCCGGCCAGGTGAGCGCACGGTCGTTTTCGTCGCGGGGGGTCCGTGAGTGATCACTGGATCTCCCGTACGTGCTGCTCGCATCCCGGTCAGTGTAATTTATTTACTCTGCGGAGTGCAACTTAACTGATGTCATAACTGTCCCGAATGAGTCACGTGTGGCCGAGTCGTCTGCAGAACTCATATCTACGGTCTTATCATTTCAGTCAGTCGTCTTTAAATTTGGGAAATCGTGGAACTCGTCTTAGCATTTTGATGCTAAAGTGGGCAATAAACTTACCGTATCTTTGGAACTTATCCTTATTAAACCATCAGCAGAAGGGAAGAAGTCCATCCACTCGAATTGCCTTGGAATCTTTATCAATGGCATTAATCGGCAACGAATAAGCCCATAGGCACTACAACTCCACTTCTCTCGGCTCAGCAGCCAAGACGTTTGACAGCATGATGACGTCGACCGATAACGGCTTCGTGAAAACCTAAGCCCCAGCCGGGGTGTGACTGTCTGCCAGCGTGTTACGGCCTGTCCCAGCGCCAGTGCCGATAGCCTGCGGCGCCCCCCCCCCCCCCCCGCCATCGAGCGTTTGTCAGACGGGGGTCTCTTCCCACCTGCCCCCGCGCCAGGCGGCCGCCAACGGCGGGCGCGGCAGATGGCCGCAGCGACAGCTGATGCCGCCGCGCGGGACATTTAAACTGGCGCCTGACGCGTGCCCCGGTTCTCCCCTCCCCTTCCCCTCCCGCTCCCCTCCCCCTCCCCATCATTCCCCGCCCCAGTCCAGGCTGGCCGCGCGTCATGGTTTGAGATGTGCGGTCGGGGAGGCGTCTTGAGAAAACACTCGAAGGGAGATGGGCTCGCGCCCCGAGGGATCGGTGCCGTCATGGGCGCCGCGTCTGTTTTGTCTACAATCGATCGCGGGCGGAAGGATGCGGACGACGTCCAAATTGAGATGGTGGGAACGGATGCTGCCGCCTGGCGCTAATTATCTCGGTCGTTTTGGGCCACTTGGAAGGCGATTAGTCTCAATGGTGAGAAGAAGCAAGAGGAGCTTCCCTTCTCTCGGCTGATGATCCGGGGCAATGATCTCAGTAACTGCCAACGACCATTAGAAGACATTGCCGTCATCGGTCCTATACAACATAATATGACTGCTCCTGGCTCTGTACTATATTGGATATCTACACCCTCTCCTCTGCAAGACTTTTGTAGCATCTGAAAGTACTTTGTTGACTAATAAGCACAGACATGTTCTCTGTGCGTTGTTCATTTGTAACGTCTTGCCCAAGAAATTGATACGATCGGTCACAGGGAGTCAGATATGGGCTTGTACAATCCCCCGTGTAGGCCGTGCTCATCCTCGGTATATTAGTAATATGGGCTGGGCGCAAACTGCGTACATCATTTTCATTAGTGCATTGCTGAGAAACACTTGGCCTGCACAGCAGTGACCCCGACGCACACACGACTGAAGCTCTCGGTTTGTAGGCACGCAAGCTATGCAGGGCGAGCGCGCGACCCGCCCCGAGCGTTTCGTGCGTGCGGGCTACACCGGCGCCGAGCAGCTGACGCAGGCTGCATTACCGTCACGGGATCGATCGGCCCGGCCGCCCGCATTGCCGGCGGTTGTGTGCTGCGGGGATATGAGGGGGGCGAGGCGCACCAGCCGGGGAGCGGGCCCGGGAGTCATGCTGGCCGGCTGTCGCGGGACGCCCAACGGCCGGCCGGCGTTTAAAGGCCGGCGGGCCAGGTGCAGCCGGACGAGTAACCACTACACGGCGGGGCGGGGGACGCCGACACGGGGGGCCGGTCGCGGCACGTGCCACCGGGCACCAGTTGATTAGCTGCTCCCGACGTGGCAGCGGCGCCGCTCCTGCTCGCTGCCCGACCTAGAGAAAGCGCTCGACGGCGATCGGCGAGAGAGCCCCGCGGGGAGCGTGGCTTTAGTGGACTTTGCGGTGCGGCTGACGGCTGCGTGACGTGGAAAGCGAGCCGGCAGACGACAGCAGCGTGGGAAGAGAGGGAGAGACGTGTCAGCACAAGGCGGCGGACGCCGGGTCGCCCGCAGGGCAGAAGCGTGTTGCCTCGGCGGACAGTGCTGTTTCGACACACGCCACTGTGGCGCGCTAATAGACGGGGGCTTACAGGCAAGGCATTCCAGGTGAGTCATTAATCACTTTGCTGCCCGCAAAACGCTGGTGTCACGGTTAATAGACAAGTGTAATTCCCTCGCGAGCACGTGCACAAGATGGATTATATCCGGCGCGAAATATGCCGTTCATTAGTTTTATCAATGATCGCTGCGACCCCGAAGACGCCCCAGCTTTTGTGTCGCAATATTCGGGTGCAAGTGATATTGCAACTCACGACAGCCCCATATCTTGCAATTATTGTCGCATTTTTCATTCATGACTTTTCAAGCACCAGTTTCATTAGTCTGGCGGGGGCCTCTTCTACCCTTATGAAAAGCCTTCTTTTAGGCAGCGACAAAACAAGTATTTCGGAGTCCGACGACGAAATTCGGGCCAGGCTAATGTACAAATGAAGCTTTTATCTTGTGTTATTACATACAGATCAATTTGATGTTGGGAACGTGACTTCAATGGAGTTGTAACACGCGTATTGGTATGTTATACAAACGACAACAATGATATGGTTGCGTCATGCAGTTATCACTGACGCCAAGTCAAAGGGCCCCGACTCATCGAACCACAAACACGTGTTCGCTCCCAAACGTCAACAAGGAAACGGCCCGGCAGCCTTGATAAGAGACTGTTAAACCTTCACGCCAATGTGATCAACTTCAGAGGCGCACATAATCGCACACCGGTGGCGGCATTGACATAACACGCGCGTGCTCTGATTAGCCGAAGGGCGGGCCTTGACCCAGGATCCGGTGGAAGTGCCACTCATCAAATGCCCAGGAAAGGAAGCAGGTTGGATGCAGAGGACGTGCTCTGCATGCGTGGTAACGTTCAGGGGTCAAAGCGACTCTGCCAAGGCAAGCCAGGTCGGGGCGTTACCGATGGCGCTAAGCGGCCTGAAAGGTCGGTCCCAGCTGCTAAAAGCTGAGGCTTGCGAGGCTTGTTTCGCAACCTCGGCCGCTTGGACGCGTGCCGGATTCCAATCAAAACGTGACGCGAACGCTGATAGCGTTCTGCCGAATTGTTCACTTGGCAGTTACGGTCGCCGAACAACACCTGGTAGCCTAAACATGTCTAACATCTAGAAGTTATAACCTGTAGAGCGTCGTCCACCGACAGTTTTCTCCCACTGGCCGCCCCACCGTCATTACACACAAATCCCCATGCTCCATGATCGGCGCCGCGAACGCCGAACAGTCCGCGGCCATCGCGCGCTGGGCATCCTCGCCTGCCCACGGAGACAATAAACTCCGTCTCCGATATCGCCCGTCTCCTTCGGCGAGGAGCCGCCTGACGGCCATCGACCCGCACCGCGTGGCCCGTGCGCCCCTCAACGGGACCCATTGAGACGGACCGCCCCGTGGGAGCCCGGGTGTCCCATAGCTTGGGGGGGGGGGGACGCACCGAGCACGCGCGGGCGCCGCAGTTGGTGCAGGGTTCGCATGGGGAGAGCACGTGAGGACCCGGCACCAGGTGAGAGGCGGACCTGCGAGCGACTTCGGGGATCTGTGCTGGTGGCTGGGATATATATATATATATATATATATATATATATATATACACATATATATATATATATATGTGTGTGTGTGTGTGTGTGTGTGTGTGTGATGCTTGCATATGTAGTTTCAAACATGCGAAAGATGAGCATCAGTAAATTTTTGCAAAAATACGTGCATGGCAACACTATTAATGCACTCTATGCGAACTAATGTACCGCCGAATAGGCGCAACCAGCACTATGCTGTTATCATTGATCGCTAACGAAAGTGGACGGTTTAAAACACTGGTGACCGGCACAGTTTCTAGTTCCCATCCGCAAAGCGCAATCAGCTCTCACGGAACACGGGGGCAGCAGCGCTGTTGCCAGAACTTGCACACGTCATGCCCGATTCCGATCGCCACATGCAACGAACGATCAGTACGAAGGCTTCGGGGCTGATGCAGTAGTGCACGGGACGTAGCAGTAGCGTGACTAGGCGGCCGTGATGTCGACAGGGCCTGCAGGCGCGTTGTTATCGCCCGGGAGGCTTTCCGAGGAGTGGAGTACGTCTGACGAACCCTTTCACTGAATGCCGAAAAGGCAGAGCGGTCGCTGACGCTGGCACAGCTGAGTTGGCCGATTTGTCGCTTGACCTGTTCAGATATTGTGAAGTCGGCGTAATTGGAGAGGCGGGGGGGGGGGAGGGGGTCACTGGGACGATCGTGAACCAGGTTTCCAAATCTGTGGATGTCATTGGGAGCACGGGAGGTCGTCCGCTTTGCTATCACATCTATAGGCTCCAACGAGCGGCAGAGCCTCGAGTCGATGCTTCAACGCATGTCCCTTCTCGCCATGCGTCGTCACCTTTGGCGTGAGGATCCCCCGTGTCAACCACTCATCGGTCTAGGCCGCAGGCTTTGGAGAAACGACCAAACCGGCGCCCAAGCGGCCTTCAAGTCCCCCAGATACTTGGACGCCAGCTGAGTATCTGCGCCGAGTGCTAATGATGCCTTAGGAGGATAAGTCCTGCCGAAAAAATGATTATTGACTTAAGCGAGCCCAAAGTTCTGGGATCATCTTCTAATTTATCCGTTATTTTTGTCTTCCTTTTACTTTTTCGTGTGCATTTGCAGCTATTCCATCTTAACGATGTAATAATTCTGCCAAGTGATGGCCTTGGCATGGGCCCTATGGCAGGCAGCCAGGTGGAAGCAGTCTTCTCATAACAGTTGTTAAGTCCATGTCGTTACGTAGAAAATGGAGCGCAGAAGAGGCACTGCTTCAGTTGTTCGAGATTTGCTGAGGTTAAAAAGCTGTTGTTATTTTTAACTTTGTGTTGAAATTTTTGCGTGCAAAATATTTGCTTTAAAAATAGAAATACCTATTTGAATAAGAGCGGGGCCATCCCCTTTAACCACTCCTCGAATATTGCGTTCTGAAGGCTGATGACAAAGCTTGCACTGTCCACCTTCACCTTGGTATTGGTCATGGATGTTCACTGTCTGCGGGCATGTCTTCTGCATGTAATATTTCTCTAGCGATTTGCGGTCACGCGGTTAGCTATAGAACCAGCAAACTAACAGCACATCTACGTGCTAAGAATGCCTCCGTGATGAGGACTTGGTCACGACGTGCCCGTAACCGTTACGACCTGGTCATGCACTACACGACCGTCGCCAAACTGTCACCAGCGCTTCCGCGGTCACCACCCAAGCAGCTTTTGGAGCCACCTCAGCGGTAAGCGCTTGTCACGATCAACGACGGGTAGAGCGCACTTTGAACTTCATTACACAGTAGAGTGTAATGATAATAATAAATGCTGCGGGTTATCTAGGGAGAGGGGGGGGGTCACACCTGCCTCCCTCCCCTCCCCCCAACTGGGCTCTCGGGCTCACCGGTCGGCGCGCGCTAGGCATTCCGTCCATCTGGAAAGTAAACAGGGTGTCAGCGCGGTGCGCCAGGCACAGAGCCGGCCGTTGGGTGCCATTGTTCCGACCCCGCCACTCACAAAGGCCATCGACGGCAGATTGGAGCGCTTTGATGCCGGCCGGCGGAGGGCGGCATTTAAACCGAACAAACATCTGTTCAGGCTGGCCCGGCCGGCCGCCGTGCCGGCTGCGTCTCCTTGCCGACCTGCGCCCACCCGTGGCTTATTAAAAGGCTCCCGAACCCGTTCGACAGTCAATAGTCCAGGCATGGCGGCTCGGGGTGAATGGAAGCTCGTGCTGTCCGCGCGGCTGAGCTATAGGCCCAGCACTGGCGGGGACAATGTGGAGCCTTTGTGCGTCTGGGGCAGGTTTGTGGAGAAAATTGCGGGGATACGAACCGTACCTTTCTGGAATCGGGTCCAACACTGGCCATTCTATGATTGCTGTTAGGGACTAATGCGCTGGAAGCCTTAATGCGTAAGGGAAGCCTGCTCTGAGCTGCCGTTTTGTCAGATGCTATTTGAACGGGAGCTCTGCCAGCGCTTTCCGATCATGGTTGACATGGTATGGAAAAATTCAGTACAAAAAGGCGTTATTTAGAACTATACTTAATAAATGGAATAGATGATAGCATTACAGCCCGTGAGTTCTCGTACTTGTTCATCACCTATCGGCGGGCCCCTTAGAATTGTATGTTCAGCGTGCTTACACCGAAATAAAGTGACGTAATTAAGCGATTTTTTTTTGTTTGTGCCCATTCCTTTTGTGAGCTCCGCCCATGGACAAATTGGTGACCCACATAAGAGAAAAGGTATTTATTGGAAAAAGTGCCATGAAGGCCCAGCCCTGGCGGCCTCGACTTAGATCCAGGCCGGAGCAGGAACAGCCGGCAGCCACCCGTTTACAGCTTTACAGCCGGCTCCAACACACCAGCATGTGTGCGGTACCAGTGTCGTAATGGCCGCCGGGTCGTAAAGGCTGCCGGCGCCACCCTGACCGCATCTGGGGGCCCATTACGGCTCGATTCTGGGAGCGGCGCGAGGCGGCCGGGCCGCGGCCGTGCGCTCGTTTGTCCGGCCGATCGGGCCTCATTAGACCGGTCTGTCCGGCGGCTGTAACGACCTTCTGGGACGCGGCGTCGGAGGACGCCGACCCGCCCCGCCGGTCGGGCGTCGCGCCCCGACGTAGATGGTCGGGCCACCCGGCTCAAATCGTTTGATTGCAAACGGATGGTGTTCGCTCGAAGGCGGCCAGCCGTTGGATGGTAGGGTCAGCGCTGTGCCGGTGTGTGATGGCTTACTTTATCGGCGCCCCGCGTCGGCGTGATGGCGGTGCGCCCAGTTGGCGGGTTTTGAACATCTGGCGTGAGATCGGTCAGCTCGGCGTGCTGTACGAGCGGGAGCGAAGTTCCGCGGGGAGTGATTAAGTCGGCCACACGCTGAGAACGCCAGACGCCATTCTCTGGGGGGGGGGGGGGGGGCCTGTCAAGGTCAGTTTCCATTTCGTTGACCGACAACTGAGGTCATCATCCACAGTGAGGTGACTGAATCGCAGTCGAGCATTATTCCTGTCTTGACCCCGAACTCAGTTGATCGGCGGCGAATCTGAAGTGTGAATCCCACCGCATCCTCACCTGTTCACAGCCCTAGCCATGGGCCGTGTGACGGTCACGAGCCCTCCTGACCCGCTCATGGCGCCCGGCTGCCGCTGCGGCGGGCGTGAACGACGTTGCGCCATGTCGCCACGCGCATCACGCAACTGACCTGCGGCGGGAACGAGACAAATGCGACGCGTGAGTCGAACACTGACGCAATCCGCGCCGCGGGAGAAACGCACCGGTCGTCTTCGATCTCGTTTCGTTTCTTCAGCTGCTGCACTTTACCCCGAGAAAGCAGTGAAGGCAGAAGAGCAGCGCGGCCGTAGTGAGTGCGCAGCGCGACAGGCGACAGGCTGGAGACGGGCGCCGCCGCTCCCTATCTTCTCCGCGCGTGCTAATGCGCGTATGGCGTGACGCCGGCGTGACCGGTGGCGTGACGCTCAGGACTTGAATATGGGCTTGCCGGACAGTCACGCCATGCGGGCGTAAACAGACACAACACCTGGAGGGCGCAGACGGCAGAGTGCTTGAAGCCGGATGGTATCTCCTCAAACAGGTCGTGGCATGGCTATCGCCCCGCCAGCGTGCACGACGTTTGGAACGACTCTTGTCTGTCAAGCCCATGTAGACTTTGAACGATAAGTTTCCGTGCAGCGTTAAAGTTTAGCTGCATTAGTGTCACTATTACAAATGGGCAGAACAGAATTATGGGTTTGAAATTGATAGCACACATTCCGCCTGCGATTACAGCGGCGTGGAAGAATTGCTACCGCTTTGGCCACGAAACCCAACCTGAATAGAGCGCCTTGAAAAACGCATGGTATCTAGCTATGCGCCAATCGAATTGATGGCTCAATCAGATGAAATATCGCTGAAAAATACCGCTTCGACCCCCGGTTAGCCAAACACAAATTTTCGAGCCATCTGAGTGTCACCAGTCATCAGTCAATGTTAACGCCCGCTTCTAACGATTTATCTAGGCGGCAGGTCGACCCTGGGATTCGCTCTCAGACGATTCCGAAATTCACTGACTGCCGCCACGGACGGAGGGGCGGCCCGGACTCGTCCTTCCAGCAGCTCCCGTGTGCCCAGGTTATGAATTAGACGAGAGGACACCTGCTAACACCACAAGTTTTAGGATCCCGTGAAAAATATCGTCAGGTGGTTACAGCTGTGGCGGCTGCCTGAAACGCCCTGCGACTTAAGTCTTTCGGCCGCTAATCCGACAGAGAAGGGCTCTCTCACCATTCGTGGAAGACGGCCGTGCGTCAGTTGAGACCGCACTCACTTTATCCTGGGTAGACTTTCCTGCAGGCCAGGATGAACGCAAATTTGGCAGCGGGTAGCCGGATGCAGCAAACGCAGCGTATTTCAGCGTATTTCTGCCCCGTGGCCTAGCAGAAAGACGTCGGTAATGGAACCGTTGCCAGTTCCCTTCCAACCTCCGTATCTGGACCGACTTCCCCTCGCTTTGCTCCGGGCCGCCCTTGCCCCCCACAGGCTTAGCTGTGGCTTCGGTTCCCCGGTCCTACAGCGTCAGCCAGGTCAGTACCCTTGCCCCTCGCCGGCAGAGCTGTGGCGTCGGTTCCCTGGTTCCACATCGTCAGCCAGCTCAGCGCCCTTGCCCCTTGTTGGCAGAGCTGTGGCGTCGGTTCCCCGGTCCCACGGCGTCAGCCGGCTCGGCGCTCTGAGAGCCGGCGCTGGCGAGAAGCGAGGCTGCTGGCGCGCGCCGGCGGCCGTGGCTCGGCTAATCTAGCAGTCGGCGGCCAGAGCCCGGTGGCCGCTATCGCGAGACGGCATCGGCTCCTGCGAAGCAGCTGCACGTGCGCAGGCCGGCCACAACCCGAGCGGTGGTCCGGTGCTGACGAGGCGTTCCGGTGCTGACGAGGCGTTCCGGCGCTGGTCCATCACCGATCGGTGGCTCCGAGGATGGGAAAACCCCTCTTGGCCTGGCAGGGTCACGCGAGCGCGACCGGCCTGAGAGTTTTGGTGTGGTGAAGTCTGTATTCGCAGCGACTGCAGGCGTTTGGCGGTAAGAGATAGAAGCTTGAATTGTCGTTGACCTAAGCACCGCAGTAAGCGAGCAGGTGAGGATAGTATCCTGGCAAAGACGCTTAAGAGGGCAGGAAGGCAAAGGCTGCTGGCCACCAAATGTGGCCGGATTACAGGCGCCCAGGAGTCGTCTGAGTCCCTGGCAGGACGGGCTCACACTCTGCCACCGAAACTGGCCGGGGTCCAATACGCACGTCAGCGATATGAGGCCAGCGAAATATGCCGGTACAGGATATTAACCCATGCTCCAGGAATTCTGATACGGAAACCGAATAACCCTCTCAGCTCTTTATCTCGTTTTTTTTACCGTGACACTGCAACATGTTTTACGCCCTGCTGTCGTGTTGCTCGGCAGACCGGCCCGACAACGATAAGCATTACGTTCCACCAGTCCTCGTACAGCAGCCATACACAGAATTTCCTGCATGTTGCAACCGACAGACAAGCGACTGCTGGCTGCTGCGACTGATGGCATTAAGATAGGACGCAAATGTGTCGGACTGTCGCGATGATGCCTTGATAATACTCTATTGTTCGAATCCGGCGTCAATTTAACAGGTTAATGAGACTCAGGTAGTTTTTCTGGCGGATGCTTTTGGAACCGGCCTGAGGAGCGGGCACTGAAAAGTCGATGTCAGTTTGGAACAGATCGCCCCCGCGCGCTCACTTGCTGGCTTAGACAGTAGGCAGCCTGCGGCGCGTGCCTGCACTGAAGTCCGTTGCGCAAAAATGTCTAATGTTTGCAAATGATTGAAAAGAAAGGACGACCGTTGTTGTGTCTACTTTGAATATGGCAATTCATTCTTTTAAATTTGATCTACAGCCCTAGAAATTCCATAAACCTGCGATAATCACACAAGTTAAGCAAAGAATAGCAGCCATGTTTACATAATGTTTTATGTCATACGTGCACATCTTTCGAGACCAACCACCTTCGCCCCTCTGGTGACTTGGGGCTGAATTTGGGCGTTCTTTCTATCTTTCTGGACCGTTTACTTTCTGGACAGGAGCGCTGCAAGGCCGTCCTCTGTCTCAGGTGGTTTGCTGTTTTCTTGCGGTTTCCGTGATTGCCTGGCGGCCGACTAACTGTTCATGCTATGGCCTGCGGTGGGCGCTGTGTTGACCCGCCGCGCTCCCGTCCGTTGCAGGGCCACGATGAGCGCGGTGCGCCCCAGTCCGCTGAACGGCAGCCGCCTGCGTGAGGCTGTCCGCCAAGGTGCCGTCCTGAGTCCGCCTCTGACGCCCGTTTTCGCCGACATCGGCGCCGCGCCTCGCAGGGGTGGAGTCAGCCCCAGAGCCGGGGTGGGCCGCCGGTTCGCCTCGGACACGTGTCTGGCCGTGCTGCCGAACCGCGCGCCCGTGTACAGGCACCCGCTGAGCGCCGCGCCACCGCAGCCGCTGATCTCACCGCAGCAGCAGGCGCGTCGTCAGCAGCAGCAGCAGCAGCAGCAGCAGCAACAGCAGCAGCAGCAGCAGCAGCAGCAGCAACAGCAGCAGCCGCGTGGAACTAGACGCAGGCTGTTTGACGTCAGAGACAGCGGTCAAGAGCTGGAACTGGCAGCCAACGCGTCCAAGATGAACTCCACGGAGGCGGAGAAGAACCTGTGGAAGCCGCACGTCGGTGTTAGCGAGGCCGCGGAGAAATGTTTCCCGAAGAGCAACAGCACCACGACGTGTGGTATAGAAAACGTGCGGGCGTACAGTAGTAAAGGTATTGACTTCTTCTGCCGCGTGCAGAACCTCGAGCAAAAGAGTCTCCTCGAATGCAACGCCGACTACAAGCCGGACGCGCGCAACAAGCTGCTGGGCTCGCCCACCAGCCAGCGGAGTCAAGACTCTGGCTTCTCCGACTCGGGCGAGTCCAACTATGACTCCCAGAGCGACGACCACAAGCGTGAGCGGCGCGTTCGCTTCGAGAAGCGGTCGTTCGCGCGGACTCTCTCCAAGATTATGCGCGGCGCCAGCGCGTCGGGTCGCGCGGCGAAGTGCGCGAGCGCGACCCCCCTGGCGACGCCCGCCGGCCCGCCGGCGAGCCAGGAGTCCTCGACGCTCCCCCGACCGCGGCCGCGGGCCGGCCACACGCCCAAATCGTCGCGCTTCTCGCACTCCAGCCTGCAGGTGGTGGAGGAGTACAAGCGGCTGGGCGCCGTCTCCGCCAGTTGCCAGGACCTGGCGCTGGCTGGCCGCGCCGGCCCGCTCACCTCCAGCCCCGTGCGCGCCGACCACGTGCTCGAGTGCTCGGCCATCGAGCGCGAGCTGGACTCGATCCTCGAGCGCGCCGAGCTACCCGACACGCAGCACGTGACCGTCCGGCCACGGCCCTCGCTCAACGACACCACCATCGACTTTTCGCCGCGGTCGCCGCCGGACGCGGCGGCGGTGCGCTCGGCCAGCGCCGCGACGCTGCGCCCGGGCGCGCCCGAGAGCGGCTCGGTGACGCTGCGCGCCGGCGGCCGGCAGCGGCAGCTGCAGCGGCGCTGGTCCCAGCTGGCGCCGACGGCCGGCGCCGCCACGCTGCCGCGCCGACCGCGATCCGTCTGGAGCCTGCAGGCGGCAGCCGACCTGCAGGCGCGCCGCTTCTGCAGTCTGCCCCGCGAGCAGGCGGCCCGGCCCGACCCCACCATCCGGATCGACGACGTCAGGTCAGTGGCCGTCAGGTCAGGCGGGGTCGGCGCGGGGTTAGACGCGCCAGCCCGGTGATGCCCTAACACTGTGTGGCCGAGTTTGGTCAGGGAAGGTATGTGGGTAGCTTCGTTAGAAGACGTCAGAGAGGGCTGCTCCTTATAACGAAGGCGGGTTAACATGCGATTCTACTTAGCCAACATGCTTTTTGTCAACTGCAGTCATGAGGCTTAAAACATTACATTCGTAAAACAGAGGTCATCTAAGATCTGTCGGGGGAACGCGAGGACTTGAAGGTGATCAAGAACCATCACCGTCCTGTTTTGGGGCAGGTCATCATGTTCTCCAGGCTCACTTTCTTGGATGGAACAAAAGCTAACAAAAGATTGTACACAACGCACAACTACGGCCTCTGACAGGCCCGGGCCTATTGTCCATAACTTAACCAACAATCAATCAATCGTTAACAAACTGCGGCGTACCATGCTGTTCACACAGAATTTGTGAGGCAATCGGCCCCAACTATAATCGCCTCCCCGTAAAACCGGCATCACCACAGGGAGATAACCGCTCGTTGCGCAACCCCGGCCCCCTCCCCTCGCTCCGCCAGGCCCCCACCTAGCCGCATTACTGATGCCGCGCACGGGGACGCGTCGCCTAGCTGCTCACCTGCCGGCGGATGGCGTTATGTGGCGGTCAGCATGCGGTCACGACGCTATCGCCGCGCGGGCGTATCTCGGTCACGACTCGACCGGACCGCGGTTAGGGTACAGCTGAGTCGCCGCCTAAATGCGACTGCGGGACGCGGGCAGGACGTCCGCAGGGCGCAGTTAGGACATGGCCCGGACGCCGCCCGGACCAGATCGGTCTGGACTACGGACGTCACCAGTCTCGGGCCTGGATTACAGCGCGTTCAAGGGTCCGGGCGCATTCAGGACACGCTGCGATTGGGACCCGGACTCGATCAGGACTGGACCAGAACTGGATTAGGACCCGACCAGGACTCGATCAGGAGCCGACCAGGGCTCGATTAGGACCCGATCAGGACCCGATAAGGACCCGATCAGAACCCGACCAGGAGGCGACCGAGCCGTTATCGGTTCACGTGATTACAGAGCGGGCGCTCAAGTCGCCTACAGACAGCAGTCGGGTCTCGACTGCACCGTGATTAAACTCCGCGGCGGGGCTCTGCATGGAGCTCGCCCGCGTGCGCCGCGGACTGCGGTCAGTCAGGACCGGATCGGACTGTGCCCAGCTCGCTACCGTCCCGCGGCGGGGACGCATCCGCGGCCGGCGTCCGGTCATCAGTCATCGACGGCGCCAAGGCCGCGGCCGGCCGTCTGTCGGCGCCCCGGCGGCCGAGATCGATGGCGGGAGCCGGCCGCTGTCGTGTCTCCACCTGGCCCCCGGCGGCGGCGCGGCGGGAGGGTGGAGGCGTACGCACCGGGGCTCTGAACCGGACGACCCGCGCCGAGGTGGGACAGAGACGTCCCTGGAGTGGGTGTAACGCTCCAGTCCGGAGGTCGTCTTCGAATCGGGTGACCAGGTTCGGGGAAGGGGAGAGGTGTCTCTAGACTTGGTGACATTCACCGAGATGGACGTGATGCACACCCCTGGATAACTCGCGATCGCAGTGAGTTGTGTCTTAAGTCCGGGAATCCACGTGCTTGGATAACAGATGTGAATGTGGAATGAGTATCCCACATCGGGAGAACCCCCTGATAGATGGCAGTTAGATCTCACATTCGGGAAACCCATATGCTTCTAAGAGGCAGGTGTCCCCGAACTAGATGGCATGCGCAGGAGAGGGAGATGTCCCAAAACTTGAGTTAGACTTGATGGCATCCGCCCTTCTCTCATCGCTCACGCTTCGTCCTAAAATCTCGCGACGCTACGTCGATCCGAGGCGAGGTTCACGGCACAAACTGTAAGTGGGCTTAAGTGACCCCTGTGCTCGACCGAGTGTTAAGCACACGCCCCTAAGAGGGTCCTTGGGCGGGAGAGGTCTAAAGATAGGTCTCCGCTGGGAACTTCCATGTGCATGCAGTATTATCTCACCTCGTCACTATCCCTTCATCCCTAAAATGGTCACGAAGAGGCGAAGGGGCTATAATCCCAATCAAACCAAGACGCATTGGAAACCAACTGATACGAATATCTGCCTCAGTATTGGTAACACGTGCTGAGGTTCAGGAGGTGTCCCTGGCCTGGGGGACCTGTGGAATCTGTGGCCTGGGTGAGACTGACATCGCTGGACGGATGACCCGTGCTGGTGATGGGGTTTAAGTAACTCAAGCTCGGGCAGCGCGCGCCAAAACAGAAGTGCCCGTGGATTGGGACCCCGCTGAGCACGGGAGTGTCTCCTTCAGTGTTGTCGGCTGATGTCTGTGGGGGAGATGCCATACGAGATGGAGTGGTATGCTAAGCATCGATATCACGCTGGGTGTGTTGTCTCTGCGGGAGACACGCATTTATAGGCGAGACCACAATGCGTAATACGCCAAATTCGACAGACAGCCTTGTGGACGATTGGCACTGGAATTCCGAGCCCGGGATTTGCGGGGGTTTTGGAAAATTCGCGGTCTAACTTCGCGTCGACCGAATTTGGGCAGCAGTAATTCGGCATGCGTACACCCGCTGCGAGATCGCTCTGGCGACCCAGAGGCTAATGACAGTTTGATGCCGGCTCTGTCGATTACCACAATCTATCACCGACCAGATGACCGTGACCAGGCTTGGAGCAATGCAGACACGTCAGCCCCATAGCCAATAGACTCTCGTGTCGTGACCGTGAACTGTGTCCAGGGACCGATAATGCGGCACGCGCGGGTGTGATGGCGGCTGTGAAAAGCTGATGGTGTGGCACGCGGCGGCTATTTCTTTCGCCTGTTTCGGTAGCTACGCTCGGCCGCACTTCGGCATGGCGCTAACCGGCCACTGCCTCGCGTTATTTATAGATCAGAGATGATCGCGTTCATGAGAGCATTCCGTTTCCTAGCAGCACTCGCCGCACAGACCGCTACGGCGAGAGGAAAGCTCTGTCGGATGATCACTCCATTCAGCGGATCGTCCCCGCCCCGATTGGCGACGATCTCGGCACTTGCCCGATCACTATCCCGTGCCGCATCCGCGTCCACCCCCGATATAGGCAGCCGTGAGCAGTTTACGCCGGCCGCAGACGAGGAAAACGGCCACCTTGGGCTGATCCCCTCCGCATACCGCGCCCTCTCGCGTCCCGGATGTTTCCAGTCCGTGCGCGCGGCGAGCGTGCGCGCTGCGGCCCAATCAGAAGGCGCCGCTGACGCGACACCGGCCCGCGCACGCCCGTGCGGGCGTAGCCGCGTGCACGGCCCCGTCTGCCGGCGCACGCGCTTGGAGGCCGCACGCGGCCGGACGGGCGGCGGCGCGGCTTCGAGTAGCGGGACATGCAAGCGTGCTTCTCGTGAAGACGTTCGCCTGAAAGTGAAAAGGAAATTGCCGATTTGGGCCGCATGCTTGGTAGCAAGAGCGAGGCATTGGAAGGATTTGGCTGCCAGGCACATGATGCACAGGCCTTGAGTAAGTTAATGCTAGCTGGCCATTTTTCAAACACTAATATATGTACGCATGCATGCGCAGCGCAAGTAACATGCCACAGGCATTTGAAATTGTCCACTGTGGTTATGTTTCAAAGTGATGCGGCATGAGTCTGCCTGGGAATCGCCAGACCAAATGGCAACATTTTTAAACGTCTTTATTAGCGAGTCACTTCAATGTTATTCGCGTAGTTTCCGCGGAAAAGACATGTCTGTCTGAGTGGAACGTATCACCGTCACTGCATTAATCACGCAGAGAACGCTTGCTTTCGCATCCAGTTACCTTGAAAATCACCTTACGATATTGGTTGGCGTCAGAAAAGCGTATTCTTTTAGACAATGGGCGATTGGAGTTCCTCTTGTCCTTGATTGGCACAGTATACGGGAAACTGACGAAGGTGAAATGACATAAGTGGTGAACAAAACGTGTCTGGGCCTCTAAGGTCTCCGCCAATGGCTTAACTGATCAGGAAGTTTCCACGACTCTTAGTGCTGACCGCCAGCTAGCTAACAGGAATGGGCTGGTCTGACCGACAAATGCTTGGCTGGAAGCGGAGATCAGAGACAAGCACAGAACAACATGGCGGCACAGGATTATTCGTAGCTGGAATTAACAATTATCTCATGCTGTTGTATATGCTACATCAAGCAGTCATACATTCCACTGGGTAGTAAACCTTGTCACTGGTTCATGTAACACGTGTGCAGCGTTCAGCCGGGTGCTTTAGAGGTGGAAAGGTCAGCCATTTGACTCGCTCAGTCTGCCCTGCCCAGGTATCGCGACTAGAGCGCGATTGGCACCACATGACCTGGGATGACCTCACATGAATCATTTGATCTTGCACGACCTCACCTGACGTCACGTGGCCTAATTTGACTTAACTGATTGTTACGCGACCTCACCTGACGCTTGTAGCTTCCACTGGCCGGAGTGATCCCGGAGTGACCCCAGCTGACCTGACCTGACCCGTGGCGTGCAGGTCCCGTCAGTGCGCCACTGGCTGCAGGAGCAGTGCTGGGAGGTGGACGTCGAATGCATGAACACGCTGCAAGAGCAAGTCGGTCATCTCGGACATGTCGCACCTGCTCGCGCTGGCCGCGAGGAACGCGCGAACCAACATCCGGGACATTCAGGTCCGCGCCAAAACCGTCAGCCGGGACTTCGCCTCGCTCTTCTCGTGAGTTTACGAGTGTGTGCGCAGTGTGCAGATTGTGCAGGGTGGCACTCGTTTGTCCAGATAGACAGCAGTCGTGGATGTGATGGCTCCAACTTTTTAGTCACAGATGAGAAGTCTTTCGAATCTAGCGGTGTACATTGTGGTCATCAGCCAGTTCGAACCCGACTGGCGTTGTCTTCTCTGCATAAAGGATTTGTTGCATTTCATTCGCTCACCGTTGCGCCATTTCATCCTAACGGAGTGTGTTGTGTCGTTGAACTTGCCCACAAACTGTTGTATTGCCTCTCTGGCATATTGGACTCTAGTCGAGAGAACTATTGGAAACGTCATGGCGAACTAAACCGTAGTGGTTCGCCACGGCTTGCAGACACGAGAGCGAGGGATCAGAGTCGGTAACGCTTTCGTGTATACCTTTGCACAGTCGAATGGAGGAGCTGGACATCAAGGAGGTCCCTCGGATAGCGCAGACGGTCACCGAGGCGATCCAAAGCTTCGTGCGAGAGTACGTGATCTCGCATCCGGACGGTCAGGCCTCGCACGTGCAGAACCTCGACAAACTGCGCTCCCTGATGGAGAAGATGCTGGAGTACGTCAAGTCCTGCGGCCAGATGAACCGCACGTTCAAGGTCGACGATCTGGTGGAAGTGCTGGCCTCGCTAGCGCAGGCCTTCAACCACCTGGTCGATCTCATTCTCGGCGAAGAAGTTAAGGTGAGCAGCTGTGCTCCTCAATGAGGCTGGTGTGGCCACCTGACGTGCTGCCGCTGATCGTGACCGGGCATGGTGATGTCACCGGGGTGAGTTTGTTTGCCTGAGTTACGAGCGCTGACCGCGATATTTGAGCTCGGGCTGCAAATAATCCATTTGCTGCAAAATCATTCGAAAAGACGTGGGTAATGTTTTTTCTTCTCCTTTTTGCTGGGTTATCGCGTTCATCTGGCAAACGCTGTCTGCTCGATCAGTTTCCTGTTTTGAGCATAGCTTTACCGGTCACCGGCGTAGTTTTCCCAGTATTTCGCCGCGCGACGCGCCGTCTGCCGCCGAGGTCACCCGGTGACGTCAGACCGCGTGACGTCACTGCCGGCGGTGCTGACCGCGCGCCTGCGGCAGGTGATGCTGAGCTCGCTGTCGCCGGAGCGCGACGTGCTCTGCCTGAAGCTGGGCCTGCGCTCGCTGACCTCTGTCGGCCTGGACGGCGGCCGGCTGTGTCGCGTGCTGTGTGCGCACGGCGCCGTCTCGCGGCTGGTGGCGCTCGTCTCCGGCCGCCGCCGCCAGCTGCGGCCGCAGGCGCTGCGCGCGCTCGCCACCGTCTGCTGCGTCTCGCAGGGCATCAAGGCCTTCGAGAAGGTAAGCACCTGCCGCTGACGGTCGTTAGTTGACGAGAGGAGGCCCGATGTGGTGCTCGGTTGTTAGCGGCAACTGATTGTTTTTACGGTTGACATGACGACCTTCCCCCTCCCCACACCAAACAACGAGGTGTGTAAGGTCTTTGTTATCCCACCGAGGTCATATTGCCGCCCTGCATTGGCGGAATGTTTGGTGAAGAAGTGACGCTATGATATGTCGCTTCCGTCTTCTGGAATGAAAGATTTGTTTGCTCAGCACTTAGGTAAAAGCTTACCCGCTTAGCAAACATACTTCACCCGACTCCAAGCCCTCAGCTCGGCAGCTTGTTCGCTAATAGCTGGTCTTTCCACCCTTGATGGACACTTAATCATGAAACGAGTGAAATTTCTGCTCCTCTGACGAGAACCGACAGATCTTGTCAGCTCCATGGTATTCTGGTGCCGCCTGTCGGTCTGGAGCTCAAACAATTGAGCCGCTGATAGGAAGTCTCCGGCCATCCCAGATGCAACCATCGTTTAATCCCACGGATAGATATTACATAACAACCGGTCATTATTCTGACCCATTAGCAAGAGCAGTCTGCGTCCACACCTAATTTCTGGATTTGCCATGCATATCATGACTTAATGACCTCAGAAAACCCCGACGACATGTCTGTCATACCCCGTGAAAGGAACACCAGTTCGTCGACCAGTTCACACTTGCAAAATCTATTTCAAGCCGCGGGACCAATACACTGTCACACTCAGGATCTCAGCGGAGGGACCCACAGACCACCCCTGTCGGCCCAATCCACTTACAAGCCACCCCAGTCGGCCCGGTGTACCCAAAGGCCACCCTGGCCGGCCTGGTCCACCCACAGACCACTCGCGGTCGGCCCGACCCAGTCACAGACGACCCCGTCCGGTCCGATCCACCCATAGACTACCCCGGTCGGTCCGGTCGGCCCGGTCCACCCACCCACAGACCACCCTGGTCGGCCCGGTCCACCCACAGACTACCCCGGTGGGCCCGGTCCACCCACAGACCACCCCCGTCGGACCGATCCAGCCGAACACTAGCAGCTTGCCGCGTGCACCACCTGTCCGCGGAAGCCCCGATCCGTTGGCCGGCCTCAGAAGCAGCGGAGGTGCGTGACCCGCTGCACACGGGCGGCCGCTCTGCCGCCCTGCCGCGCCGGGCCGCGGGAGCAGTTGGGCCGCGTCTGGCCGCCTCAGTGGCTCCCCTGATTAGCTACCAGGATCTGGCGAGCACGCACGGCGGCCGGCGCTGGTCCGGCGCCGACCGCAGCCTCCCGAGTGGCTCGCCCGGCCGGCGGCCGCGCACGAACGGGCGCGTGATCCCCGTTTTTCCGACAGCAGGTATCCTTGCGAGGCTGGCCTGCATTCCCCGGTGTGTGGTTCTCACGTATGGCCACCACCTGCACCAGCGGCCGCGCTCGTGAATGGCCCAACGAGGGATGAGTAGCCTCGTGGTGGAGAGTGGACGCGTCAGTGGCACGTCAACAAAAACGGCGCCGCACGAACGGCCTCTAGGAAGGCCTTAACCACAGTTTTACCAGCCAGCGTGCACCTCGTTTGAGGCCGGGTCTTAGCCAGAGCCACTGAAGATTGAACGCCATACATGGCATGCTGGGGCGGGGTAATGCCTGCATTTCTGCCAGTATTTCAGCGATGTTAAATAATGTTTTGGTTATGGTGTTGGGCGACTTCATGTTGTAAACTGGGAGTTCTTTCTCTTCATTTCAGGGTGTTGGCTATGAACGTGCACTCATGAATATGGCTGCTGTGTTTATCCGATTGGTGAAGATTTAAAATCAACTTAACATCTCTTGATCTCCGCAAATAAAAATAAATTAATTTTCACTTTGATATTAACACTTACAATCTAACTTACCCTTAACTCATCCGCATGACTCACGCCATGCGATGCACCTGATTCGGCTACGAAAATAGCCATGGATAGTCCGTTATCATTTATTCATATAGTGATGCTAAAATTTCAAATGGTTAGGGCTCTACCTCCTCAATAGTCTAGAAAGTGACGCCGGTGTCGTGGAGCGATGACAGTAGTGGAGAACATCGGGTGCTAGTGTGTGCACCGAGAAATTTGGAACACATCTGACTATCTGCTGTAAGCTTGAGCATCTGTAATGCCATTGGATTGCTGCAAAGAGCTGCTGCAAGGAGCTCTTTACAGCTCCTGGAAAGCGCTACCTGTACAGGGGCTTTGCATCTTATGTAAATGCACTTACTGCGTTTACGGAAGCTCTTATCGTAGGCTGCGTGCGCTTGTGCCTGCGTCATAATAAGATAACTGAATGCACATCTGTTTTGGCGGCACCAATGGAAGCCGATATTTGCAGCATGGGTGTTAATCGTTCATGCAGCAGAGTGATGTGTCTTAGCAGCGGCCTCAATAGCCAGATGTTGTCGCCATGCGGTGAGCCAAGGTCTCATTTTGGGACTCGCCCACTGAAAGCCGGCTACAAGAATGCAAGCTGTGTATTTCTGAGATGGGCACAGGAACAGCTTCGGTTCGACTCCCTGGCGCGTTGTTCCTCACCGCCTGCCAGTGTTCGCGTGAGCAGTGTCGTGCCCTACCATTGGCCGCTGTTGCCCCACCATTGTCTGCGCTGTTGGACATAGTCCATGGCAGCACGCCGCCAAGACATGACGCAGGACAGGACAGGTCCATGAGGCCAGGCATGATCCGGCCCGTTGTGCCACCCCCTGACCGTTCAGTGATGGGGGCAGGCCTGTCGCGACGACCAGACACTCCCCATCGAGCACGGAGGCGTGATAACGCTTGGAGCGCGACCGGGCTGCGGCATGACCGCGACCGCGACACGTGACATGGCTGACCCCGTGACCTCCCCCGGCAGGCGGACGGTCTCCGGCTGGTGACCGGGATTTTGGCGGACCCCCGCTCCACCGAGGAGGAGCGCTCCGAGTGCGCCGGCGTCATCGCGCAGGTCACCTCGCCCTGGGTGGACAGCATCCACCACGTGCGCGGCATCAGCGACCACGTGGAGGACATCATACGCGAGCTGACTGGTGAGCACGCCGCGAGCACTGGCGAGCGACGGACCGAGCTCTGGGTTCCCTCGGGTGCGGATCGGCGTAGTCTCGCCACACCGTGACTGAGGGGAGCAAGATAGACAGGGCTGCATGGTCGGTCCGATCCACGTCTGATTAGGGTTCCACCGGTTGAACGAAGACCTGAGCAGCATGCTGCCGTTTCCCAGCTGTACGTGATGCTCTGACCAAGCGTGTTCGTGATGCTCTGACCAAGCGTGTTCGCTCGCACCATCGCGGCGGCTGAGCAGCGTGTCTGGACGAGCTCTGACCGGGGCGCCCGCACGCCAGGTCTGGCGGCGACCACCGACTCTGTGGAGACGCTGCTGCTGGCCTCGGCGGCGCTGGCCAACCTGACGTTCCTCAACATCGGCGCCGTCCGCCTCCTGCTGCACAACGGCGCCGCCAAGGTGCTGGTGCACGCCACGCGCAACGCCGACAACTGCTCCCTCTTCCTCAAGGATCAGGTGAGGTCGCGCGCCGTCGGACGCAGCGTCCTGTCCCTTAGGCGATGTGTGTAGCAAGGTTTCGTTTCCTCAGGTCGTGTAGCAATGTTGCAAAGACACACTCACGGGCTGACACGTAATACGGGAACTACAGCACAGCTCGCAGTCGGCGCACGATCAAGGTCGACGTCATGTGATACTTTTCCTCCGCTTTGCTGGCGGGCAATCGGCACAGAAATGCTGCATCACGTTGGTATGCTTCAAGGTTGCGAGCGGAAGGCAATGCAACACCTTTGTTGCGCTCGTGCGACAATTTTTGTCAGCCCTTCCCACATCCACGCCTTCCATCTGATTCAGTGTTGCGTCATGAGGAAAGTCTTTAAGGGCTGTTGTTTCAATGTCGTGCAAAACTGGGGAGACACTTGTCATGGGGTTTTCACGGTGACGTACCGTTGTCTTGCACAGTAATGCTATCACCGCAGCATGTCGCTGTGGTCATCATTCTTTAGGGTGTTTCATTCGAGTAGGTGACTAGGCAAAACGACTCGTCCTATTGGCAGCCGAAACCAAATGTTTCACTGGGTTTATATTCGCACAGTTGCTTTCGCGAAGTAAATATGCTAGGCTAGGCTTTCGCTATACTCCTCCCAGTTAAGTGTGGGGAGACAGTGGCAGGTGGCTACATATGACATATGCGACTCACTGCATATATGTGTACTGCACATAAATTGCCGACATAGGACATCAGAACGCGCATATCAAGGGTAACAAGGTTTCTTGGATAGTCGGCGTACAACGGCGTCCTTCGAAACAGCTGCATATAATGAATTTTACGCTCTTGGTCAGCCCCATCAATATCATGTCTGCTGGCGAGTCAACCAAGGGTTGCTACTTCTTTTAAAGCGGCGACGAGGTTACAGTAAATCAAGTTGAACATACCCAATGTCGCCCCGGATGTGTCGCTGACAGGCTTTATAAGCTCATGTCATGTGAGCCAGCCAAATGCATCATGCATTATTACATGACGTATTATGAAAATCTACCGGACATACATGCATTATCTGATGTGGTATCAGACCTGCGATTTCACGTTTAGGTAGCATAACGTGACTGTAAATTAGAATACAGAAATCATGCTCTACCGTTCTGCTCACAATATGATGGCGTACATCACACTCTGCTTCCCTGTGCCCAACGTCGTAACGGAAACCACGCGTTTGTCCCCGCACAACGTACAGC